GTGTGTGTGTGTGTGTGTGTGTGTGTGTGTGTGTGTGTGTGTGTGTGTGTGTGTGTGTGTGGGCTTGTGTTCAGCCCCTGGAAGCACAGCTGATTCCCAGGGCTTGTCCCTCCATTTGAGGCCTCAAACGGGGTCACAACAAAGGCCAAGCATGATGGACTCAGACATCATGATGTGAAAACTTGTAAGCTTTGGCCTGGAAGAATTATTTTCGCTCTAACTGGTAGGTGTTTTGGCTTTCCAAGTGGGAAAACTGAATTATTATTCTCCTCTTGAACCCAGCAATGGCCACTCTACTGATAGGTAGCTTTAATCTGAAGCATTTGGTAAATCATCAGAATGAAAACCAAAACAGCATTTCCTGAATACAAATTTTCTGCGGTTGGGAACTGATGAAAAAAAAAAGTTATTGTAAATACTGACGTAATTTCCTACTATTTTATGTCAATTTATTGGATGCTTTTTCGTTCGTTATCTATGTCAGTATTAGTATCTGATATTCCACCATTTCAAATCTGAAGGAGTACCAGAAATTACTTTGAGAAATAACAAACACTAATTAACTGTTACTCAGTGAGTTGATGGGATTTTTATGCATCATAAACTAAATAACTTATTAAAAAAACAACAATAATTGGATAAAGAAAAAAAGAGTAATTATAGAAAAAAATGCATATGCAATGCAAATAAAAACAATAAAATAAATAAAGCCCCATTATTCTGAGTTAGATGTATTGATTTGTACAGTCCCTTTAGCATGTTGTTCAGTGTGTGACAAAATGATTTTCCAGCTTTGTGAGAGAGTCAAAGATTTTCACACATCTCACTGAGCGACTGGTGAGAGACGCCACAGCCTGTCCTTCTTCTCACTTTGAAAATCAATATTAACCTTCTATGTGTTCATTCACGTGTCTCTGTGGCTTCCCTTAGAGATGCCCGAGGCACAGATTTGTATTCATCTCAACTGGGTTGAGAGATTTGGGATTTTATGTCAGACATCCCATACAGATTTAGGAACTGTTGATTCAGGTGGGTTTGATTCCCATAAAGTAGACTTCTTATATTTAGTCAGTATAATATTACAAGCCTTGATGTTTTACAAAGATTTTTGGCTCCCTCTTGTGGTAATCTCTGGAATGTACATGGCAACAACAGTTTCTGGAGCTCTAATGACAGAAGGTTAATATGCTGATGATGACATGTTATTAAAAATAATATTCTATAATTTTGCAGCACTTCATAATGTCATCTTGTAAAACAACAGGGTAAATGATGTAAGGAAGAAAAGAGAGAAGCAAAGTAGTCTAACACCACCTCAAAGCACATTTAATTGTATAATATTAATGTCTTAAAATACTGATAAAATGTCACTGCAACATAATTAAAATAAGACAATTATGATTTACCACTAATGCTACTTGCAACAAGTAAATCATCAACTTTTGGTTACAGTATGTGGCACTTAAACATATTGCCTGTCTCTGTGTACGTGTGGATTACATCAGCAATGCAACATATAACACATAGCACATAACAATGCATAACAATACAAAGACATACTGACACCTTTACCTAGCAAGGCACATGTAACTGCTGTGCTCTGACACAACCGTTAGACCAAACATAAAGTGAAAGAGTTGCCGTTTCACAAATGGGCTGAGCTGTCTGTGGTCAGTGACATCACGGGACAAAAGCTCTTCCTCATTCAAAATGACTCACTGACGTTTCAGCCATACAAGGTTGTTGGTAAGCTTTTAAATTTGGAGAAATGTCCTGTAAGTAAGGTCGGCACTAAGAGTTGTGCTTAGTTCAAGGAAGTAAAAAAATACAATGGCTCCTTTGATGTTTAAGGATGCTTTCTGGGTGAGTATATTTTTGTGGTATTGTTGTCTACTTGCTTTGTTATAGTTTCTAAACTATAGTATGTATTAATTATGTTGAACAGACTGTTTTAGGAACCCGAGAAACACCACGTTACAGTCAGCTATCGCTTGTTAGAACATTATATATTTTAAACCCTAACTGTTATCTGTAAGTTAAAATTTGCCAAATCAGGTAAACCACAAGTGATTATAGTTTATACTATTATGGACACACAGCAGTATGGGGTGGGAGTGGGGGTGGGGGGGTTAAGGTAAGCTTTACAACTTAAAAAAATACTTAGTATGCACAATCATGAACATCATACATGTAAAGACACTGTAATGTGTTGAATCACCACTGCGTGCACCTGAAGCGATCTAGAGGGTTGGTTTACCAAGTGTATTAACTCTACGCTGCCATGCCACATACAAATATCTTTGCAGTACACAAGTGCTAGTTCTGCATTTTACCACAAAATGAGTCAAGAACATGTTGCAATACCTTTTTCAGAAATGCTGTTTATTGCAGCAGTTTTCATTTTTTGTGTTTCGTCAATGCAGGGGT